TCCAGTAGAGACTCAGGGTGACCAAACGTGGGGTTACACCCTTATTTAATATAAGCAAAGTATACAACCTCGGGCCGTGTCCGACCTTAAGAGAAAGGGGTGATGAGAAAAGTACGTTTCGGAGATGAAGATGGTAACTATCAACGGACCGCCCGGATCCCGTCTGAGGAAAGCTGGAGACGTATTCCGCAATCCACAAGTGCCCGGGAGGTCGGAGGAGGTCAAGTCATGCCTCTCGACGACCCGAGCAATAGGACAATAGAAGGCACGAAAACAAAGAAACGACCAATGAAGTAGAAAGTGGAAAATACGTACCTCGGAAAGCAGGTCGGATAGCAGAAATGGAAAAAACGAATCAAGTGAATCCAGTTGAAAAGGTCAGGAGCTAAACATGACATAGAAAAACACTACCAATACCTAATATGGCGTCTGAGCACTGTTCCCTGCTTTTGCGAAATTCCCAATGGAGATGTGTCGTCGTTGGGTATAACCCGTAATTGCGTGCCCGGGAATACTCATAAAAACTTTGCATTTCAGGGCATGAGGTGTAGGGCCTTCACCCCTCCAATCACAGTTAGATGTCCATATCCTGGTGTCCTCTTGGATAATCTGGCAGCAGTGTCTGTCCGGACACCCACCTAGAGTGTACTGTGCTTACTTCAGTGATATTCCCCCAGGTTTGTGGTCCAAAGGGGAGTTCGGGCACAGGTAGAGCAGGCCAATCTTATGGCACAGACCGAGCAGGTCAATCTTATGGGTACACACTAAGCAGGCCAAACTTATGGGCACAGACAAAGCAGGCCAATCTTATGGGCACAGACAAAGCAGGCCAATCTTATGGGCACAGACATAGCAGGCCAATCTTACGGGCACAGACATAGCAGGCCAATCTTATGGGCACAGACATAGCAGGCCAATCCTGGGTTTCATCTTAAATGAGTAATAGGGACCTCTGAGTTTGGCAGAGTCCCCTAAATATCTGTAAATCCTCCTGGTATCCTGTGACCTAGTACCCTTAGACACTAATCTTAGACAGCGTACTCTTGTGTGAATAAACCGTAACCGGGACTGGCGGTCCCTAAGTGCCCAGCAGGCAACATACAGGTAAAACCAGTTGTATTGGGTTTAAGCTGGACATGTTCCAGAGAGTGTCCATAAAATCAAGATCTGCTGAGCAATACCTTTTTTAAGTTGCAAATTGTAATGCACATGTACATACAGATCCGTATGAGATATCTTATCTTTATTGTAGGTCATCATCATCATCGTACCGCCTGAAGGGTATTGTACTCATGGTCTCTTCAGGAGTAGGGCAAAAACAATTGCCAACTCAATGAATCTTCCCAAGAAGCCTGATAATATAGAATAGTATCGGCATAGACAGGACTGACATCTACCGTCAGTGAAACTCACAGCAATCCGTGAGATCTATAGCACTAAGACTCACAGCAAGCCGTGCTATATACACTGACATAGAACTCACAGAAATCTGTGATTTATGTATACACTGTCCTATAACTCACAGAATCCGTGATATAAGTATATACTGCCCAAGGACTCACAGAAATCCGCGATATATATACACATAGAAACTCACGGTAATCCGAGAAATCTGTGATATATCTAGGTGGAAATTTACCGTAGTCTGTGACATATCTACATGGAAATTCACAGTAATATGTGATATATAGACCTGGACACTCACAGTAATTTGTGGAATATATACTCATGGAAACTCACAGTAGTCTGTGATATATAGAGCTGGAAATTCACAGCAATCTGTGATATATCTACATATGGAAACTCACATTAATCTGTGATATATCTACATATGGAAACTCACAGAAATCTGTGACATATACACATGGAAAGCTACCAGAAATCTGTATAAATAAAACACATGGCAAACTACCAGTAATCTGTATAAATAAAACACATGGCAAACTACCAGTAGTCTGTATAAATAAACACATGGCAAACTACCAGTAATCTGTATAAATAAAACACTTGGCAAACTACCAGTAATCTGTACAAATAAACACATGGAAAAACTATCAGTAATCTGTGTAAATAAACACATGGCAAAACTATCAGTAATCTGTATAAATAAACACATGGCAAACTACCAGTAATCTGTATAAATAAACACATGGCAAACTACCAGTAATCTGTATGAATAAGCACATGGCAAACTACCAGTAATCTGTATAAATAAACACATGGCAAACTACCAGTAATCTGTATAAATAAACACATGGCAAAACTACCAGTAATCTGTATAAATAAACACATGGAAAACCTATCAGTAATCTGTGTAAATAAACACATGGACAACTATCAGTAATCTGTGTAAATAAACACATGGCAAACTACCAGTAATCTGTGATATATCTAGGTGGAAACTCACCGTAGTCTGTGACATATCTACATGGAAATTCACAGTAATATGTGATATATAGACCTGGACACTCACAGTAATTTGTGGAATATATACTCATGGAAACTCACGGTAGTCTGTGATATATAGAGCTGGAAATTCACAGCAATCTGTGATATATCTACATATGGAAACTCACAGTAATCTGTGATATATCTACATATGGAAACTCACAGAAATCTGTGACATATACACATGGAAAGCTACCAGAAATCTGTATAAATAAAACACATGGCAAACTACCAGTAATCTGTATAAATAAACACATGGAAAAACTACCAGTAATCTGATAAATAAACCCATGGCAAACTACCAGTAATCTGTATAAATAAACACATGGCAAACTACCAGTAATCTGTATAAATAAACACATGGCAAACTACAAGTAATCTGTACAAATAAACACATGGCAAACTACCAGTAATCTGTATGAATAAGCACATGGCAAACTACCAGTAATCTGTATAAATAAACACATGGCAAACTACCAGTAATCTGATAAATAAACACATGGAAAACCTATCAGTAATCTGTGTAAATAAACACATGGAAAACTATCAGTAATCTGTGTAAATAAACACATGGCAAAACTATCAGTAATCTGTATAAATAAACACATGGCAAACTACCAGTAATCTGTACAAATAAACACATGGAAAAACTACCAGTAATCTGTATAAATAAACACATGACAAACTACCAGTAATCTGTATAAATAAACACATGGAAAAACTACCAGTAATCTGTGTAAATAAACACATGGCAAAACTATCAGTAATCTGTAAATAAACACATGGCAAACTACCAGAAACCTGTATAAATAAACACATGGCAAACTACCAGTAATCTGTATAAATAAACACATGGCAAACTAACAGTAATCTGTATAAATAAACACATGGCAAACTACCAGTAATCTGTGTAAATAAACACATGGCAAACTATCAGTAATCTGTGTAAATAAACACATGGTAAACTACCAGTAATCTGTGTAAATAAACACATGGCAAACTACCAGTAATCTGATAAATAAACACATGGCAAACTATCAGTAATCTGTGTAAATAAACACATGGAAAAACTATCAGTAATGTGAAGGAAACATTCCCCAAAGAAAAGAAAAGAGCCAGAAAGGCACATAAATCTCACAAGCAAGCATAATTAATAACAATCATAAATAAGTAACACTAAATCCCAAAGCCACCCACTATAAGCAGGAGGCAGTGGTACACAGACCTGTACTGACTGTGGAGCAGCAAAGAAAGAGGAAATGATGCAATGGGAAGGAGGTTTTATAGTACCTCACTGTTTTCTGATTGGTTGTTTTTCTGTGCTGCTGTGGAGTTCTAGTAAAGAGAGACTAAAGCAAATACGAAGCCTCCTGCAATGTTAAAAAAATTTGAATTGGTTATTGAACATGTCTCTGCTATTCATTTCCAATTTCCAGAGCTCTGAATGAGTTGGCAAATATCCATCATCCACAAAGGGCCCGGGCTGATTTTATCCCCAACAAACTGGTGTCAGAAGTTTGGGTGTAATTGGGAACGCAGATTACAGGTTAGAGGATCTTTAGCCCCTTGGGGACACAACTTCTGGAATAAAAGGGAATCATGACGGAATATTTCTGTCGTGTGTCCATAGGGGGTTGGGGACCTTTACCTGCTTCTGCTATCCTCCCACACATTGCATTTCTTGTTTTAATGGGGTTTTTCACTATTTAAGTTTTTAAAGGGGATTTTCACAGGATAATGTCTTTGGTAGACACTGTATTTTTTTTAAGTCTTAGGTAGACTTCTAGTACTCCATGGGTTGGAGGAACGCCTTTAGCAGGCAGTATTGTGCACAATTCCTCTTTGGTAAGGGGTTCACCTTTGGCCAGGTGTTAAAATGATTTTCAAGCCTTTGGCAGGCTGTCATGTCCTGTGATGTACATTTACATATGGGTTTTGTAGACTAAAATGGTTTAAAAAAAAAAAAAAGGGGTTAAAAGGGGATATTGTTTAAACCCGGTATGATGGATGTTTGGCATTACTCCGGCTTGCTAATTTATATGCTATTTTATGATGTGCAACGCTGATTTTAAGTATAAAGTCTTAATTGAAGGAATGTCAAAAGTACATGTAAAGGTGATGATGAATAAGAAAAAAATAGAGGTTATTTAAGGGGGGCTACAGATTCTAGAACTAACATGATTTCTCTGCATGTATGTTTGCATAATGAGCCCCTTATTTTTATACTTGGACAAAAGTACTATAAGCCCACAACACTTTTTCATGATAGTGGGATGCATGATTGTTTATATGCTGAGCCCTTTATTTTCATATTGGGACAAAAAGTCACTTCATTCAAAACGTCAAACACCACATTCTTTCTGCCCTGTGTGTTTGTTGCAGATAATTTATGTTGTAAATTTAGATGATTATAAATTAGAGAGCAAAATTTATATTTTCAGCGGTCCAACACATGCTTCGTTTTGTGCTGTAAGCTAACTTGTAGTATTCCAGTACGTCACATGTTGTATGTGCTTTAAATTGTATGTATTCTAGAAATTGTTGAATGGGAATGCTGAGATTTTATTGCTTGTGACCCAAACTGTGCAGAAGTGGGTTTGAAATTTTGGTCATGAAATGTAGGATCAGAAAACCATGGACAAAGGTTTTTACCTGTGTTGATATGACTTTTGGGAACTCAAATTGACCGGTCAAAATTTTGCCATGCCTTTAACATGGAGTAGTATAAATATTTTGAGTCTTTGAGAGTTCTGACAAATGCAGGTGATACCATGTCTGTGTAATCTGGTCCAAATGTTCTATAAGCGTATAAGGGAGAAATTCCATTGACAGGTTTTGTAAAGGATCCTTGCATTCGTAAAGCGATGATCCTTGCAGCTTCTCCCGAAATCCAACTGAAACGAAGTGATTATAACTCCCAATCCCCCAAACATGAGTCAAGACTTCATGAAGGGGTAAAACTATCTGCATTACTGTGGGCTACCCGCCCGGTATTTATGCAGGTCTTCCACCTGGTGGACACTCCCCTAAGGGACCAGATGGAAGACTGGGACAAAAGTAACACAGTAGCCAATCACAGTGGCTATAGCATAAGCACTCCCCTTTTACATAAATCACTCCCTCTTTTCCGTCCTGGAGATAATTAACTTAAGGTAGCAAAGAGAGCCTTAATTATCTCCAGGAAGAAAGAAGCATGGCTTTTCTTATTTAGCAAAACAGAATAAAAATATATAACTTTCTTTTTACACCACATAACCTTTAAATTCCACCTATCCCCAGATAGCTTGGATCTGAGGGCATATTCTAGGCGAATAGCGCTCAGATCCCACGAACACAGTTCTCAGAATTGTCGACCGAAGTTTGACTTTCACTGGCCATTCGTGTGTTTGCAGCCGACTGCAAGTTCCATACTATAGCTATCTGGGGTCGGCCACTTTCGCATTTATTGTTATTTCCACGAAATCCCGCTGTAATTCTCCAAATAACCGAACAGGCTTGTTCGTATAGTCTGTAAATAGGGGATTTCGTTACAGGTTTCATATGTTGAAACTGGTTAATGCAAGTGTTATACAAATGTTTAAGTCAAACGCGTTATATGGCCGCACGGGATCCCTTCTGTAAAAAATAAAAAATAAACCCTTTGGTACCAGAACTCTTAAATAAATCTGATACAAACTAAAATTGGTATACCTTACAATAATATGTTCTGAATACAGCTGTTAGAAGTTTATTCTGTGTGAATGGTGATTGTGATAAATGTGTGTTTTGGTTACTCATTTTAAAGTGTGCAGTTTAATTGTCATGTATGTTAATGGCTATTTTGCTGTGTTATTTTAAATTATATTTGAATACGTTTATCTTAGTATTGATACAGATGGAAGTGGCAGCATAACAATCTATTAAATAACTGATTTATTATTGAATACTAGTCCAAGAGCAATATGAGTTGTAGTCTTAAGAAAAAGAAAAAGGAGGGAGTCTGTTTTTGTAAATTTTAGCTGATTTCCAAAATTCTGTTGCAATAATGGACTTCCTGACAAAATTTGACTTTCCTGTCCAGTTTCCAGGTGCTCTGATCTAATCTTAAAGTAGTACTGCTTGCATAGTTTGCAGACATGCATAATGCACAAACATGGGAACCTATATTATGTCTGTGACATTTATTAATTTATTTTGGATTGAATTAATTGCCTGTCCATGAATATGCTTTTTGTATTGGCATGTCTGCTGGATATCTGCTAATTTCATTGTGTTCAGTGTTATAACACATGTGTGATATTACAATGAGTATGAAAAATATGTAAAAAATATTTGCATGTCATTAACGCAAGCCTTTAGTGTCTTTTTACAACAGATTAAAAAAACGCTGATCAGCCGACAAGAAAGGGGCCCCTGGGAAAGAAAAAGAAAAAAATATATCATTTGCTTTTCAAAATCGTGGATCCACGTTTCAGTATTATTAGGGGAGCATTTAGAGTTAACGCTACTTTTAAAGTGCATTGCATTATTTAAGAAAAAGAAAAATTTGTTATCTTTAACATAAACAATTGTTATGTTATATGGTTATATAACAAGATAAATTATGGATGTATAGGATAGGTTTTTTCCAAGATTAAGATTCATCTAGTATGCCTCATTTATTATAGCAAAATGATGAAATGGTATTTTTAATAGAGATCAGATAATTTCTTTTGAGGCAATTCTTAACTACTGTATTATATTTGTATTGGTATATTGAAAGCATTTTGCAGACCCAGAAGAGAATAAAAAATATAATAATTATAAAAGGAACCATACTATGGGAAGAGGTCACCCTATTAAATTGCTAAGGGGTTAAACTCATTTTTGATAAGCATATAAAATTTTGTTTTTGTGGTTAGAATTTTTGATACTCAATTTGAATTCAGTTGAAGTATTACAACCAGGTATAGGAAACAACTGCAATATGATTTTAATATTTGCAATATATTAGTGTTCTGACAATGGAAAAGTACCTAACCGCATGTCTGCATTACACCTATGACCCAGACTGTCAGTATTGCAAACCCTATAGACTCTGCTTTCACTGTACCCCTAGACAACTGTGCTATACATGCACAATAAATCTTCAAAAGCTTATTAATATTATATCTGTGTGGTACACAAAGAGGGGTACACAAAGAGGGGGTGTGAGTTAGGTCATCTCGACCTGCATATGGAATATGCTTCCTCCGTGTTCACTTTTGGTCCAACTGTTGGTCTGTGACTGGCCCTCTTTGACCCCAACTGAATTTCTTGGGAAGATTCATGAGAAAGATACAGCAGGTTGTTTTGATATAAAGAAAGAGGGAAAAGTATGTTGTATCGATCACAAAAGGATTGTGATCTTAAGCAGACGAGACAAAGAAATTTGGGAGGTGATAGGAGATTGAATCAGAAAAGTTTTGGAGGCGGAGGTAGAGAATTTGATCAAAGGATCTAACTTTTGTAGAGGTGGTAACTTCAGCATTATTTTAATTATGGATAGCAGGGATTCACCCCAAGGTGCTTGTGGTGAACCCGGTTCTCCCTGTCAAGCTGGCCCCACTGGTATTGCTGGTGTCCCTGGCTTCCCTGGTGCCTGTGGTGCTCTTGGACCTCAGGGCCCCAGAGGTTCCCCTGGACCTAAGGGTAACAATGGTGAACCTGGTGCTCAAGGAGACAAAGGAGAACCCGGTGCATTTAAGGACTCCCACCCTGGCAGGTTCCTCAATACCAACCACAACTTTCAAGCTATACCTACACCCAACAACCTCAGCCTAATACAAAGATGATTCATGTTTTTAATACGTTTATCTATCAAAACTATATATAAACAGTATTAATGCTGGCTCTTAGAGGATGTACAAGCTGAAGTTGGGACCTAGACATTGTTTGCATAGGCTGCGCAATGTGAAATAACTAAAATAAAATAGGATAATAAGTATGCTTAGTCGATTTGTAACGTGGTATAATAGAGGCATCTGCAATAAAATAAGTGTGTTTCCAAGACCTGACAAGTGAGGGCAACTTAATAACATATGTCTACAGTTTGCTGTCCCTTCCTTATCAGAGGCCACTTGCAACACTGCAAGACAACTCTTCCGAAACCTGTATTAAACAAAGCACTTTAGAACAATAGTAATTTATTTTGTTTCTCCTATTTCATTCCTAGTTGTTCTGAAAATGATCACACACATACAGAACTGGTGGCTTTTTGGACATCGGGATCTAGAAAAGGTTTCGGTTTCCAAAGATGTTATCAGGGTCCACAAAATTTCTGACAGACTTCAGCATTCCAATTTTATTAAGGTAATTAATTGGGATTATCAAATCAAGGTTTAAGTTTAAGAACATCATTTTATTGGGAATGATACCAATATGTATATGTTAGTGTTTTAGTACTCAACAAGCATTTATATAGAATGAATGCTTCTCTCATCCATAAAAAAGGCATTTTAGTCTCTACATAGTTACATAGTTACATAGCTGAAAAGAGACTTGCGTCCATCAAGTTCAGCCTTCCTCAGAAATGTTGTTGCTGTTGATCCAAAAGAAGGCAAAAAACCTGGTCTGAAGCACTTCCAATTTTGCCACAAACTAGGAAAAAATTCCTTCTTGACCCCAAAATAGCAGTCAGATGTCTCCTTGGATCAAGCAGCTATTACCCCACTAATTAGAAATTATATCCCTGTATGTTATGTTTTTGTAAGTATTTATCCAATTTCAGTTTAAACATCTGTATGGACTCTGACAAAACCACCTCTTCAGGCAGAGAATTCCATATCCTTATTGTTCTTACTGTAAAAAACCTTTTCTTTGCCTTAGATGAAATCTCCTTTCTTCCAGCCTAAATGTGTGACCTCGTGTCCTATGTATAACCCTGTTTATGAATAGATTTCCAGATAAAGGTTTGTACTGGCCCCGAATATATTTGTATAAAGTTATCATATCCCCTCTCAGGCGCCGTTTTTACAAACTAAACAGATTTCATTTTTTTAACCTTTCTTCATAACTAAAATGCTCCATTCCTTTTATCAATTTTGTAGCTCATCTCTGGAGACGATTTTAGCCTAGATAAGTAATTTATTGATGTCGTACTGATCCTTGTGTTTGTATGATTATAGAGACCGTACTGGAGTATTTGTGCCGCCTGATATTTGGGACTACACACCAATCTCTCTGGCTGACCTACCTTTTTGCAATTAAATCTGTTTGGTCAAAAACCATGCTGGCCGAAGAAACTGAGATGCTTACTTATGAGGACATAAACTAACTTGGAAAGTCCTGAAGGTGCAGTGCTGTCTAATGCCGCTATTTCTGTATTACCCTTTCAACAATTGGGGTGTTGCAGAGAGTATTGTGGTGAACATCCAGCAAACAGAAGAATTAAAAACTACGTGGAAGATGACATCGTCTTGTTGTCATCCATATTGCTACCCTTAGCTATGTTATGGTGTCTAAGATTATGGAACAAAGTTTATGGTGTCTAAGATTCTTTATACTCCTTGAAAGACTTATAATATTTTTCTGGACTATGCTGGACTATTGAACTATTTTGTTATTTTTATTTTTGTAGAGTTAGCCGGAGAGAGAGGAAGTGTTAGCTTACTCAGGCACGTATGTGCTATATGTGTCATTGATGTATGTTGAGTGTACCAAGGATGGATTCCAATGTATTAAGTGTGGATATGACTGGACCATCGAAATAGGGATTTGATTAGGAGGCATAGGACGTAAGGTCATGATTGGGATTATTGCTAGAATTGCAAACTGATTAGAAATGATCTCATGATTTAATATGTAAGTGGGCCTTTTCAAACTAATCAAGAAGTGTTTCCCAATCCTGATACCCGAGCTATTTACTTACAAGTGCAGGTTTTATAAGTCACTAATGCTGTCAACATGAGGGGATGACATGTCTACACAGTCATGGCCCTCACTTAGAATTTACCCAGATGTGCTTTTTTCCTCAACTATGAGTTTTTGCCACTGGGTTTTTTGACATGGCCCAAGTTCACTGGGTGGACTGGTAATCCAAGACCCTGGTCCAAAGAGGGGTAATAGATTTTATTCCCATTTTTGATTATATGTGTTTACGTTGTGAATTATAATAATAATATTCCAGTTGTTGGGAATAATACACTTTGCCTGTTTTGATCCAAGGCTCAAGTTACAGATAACATGATGTGCAGTCTGTTTAAAATTGGTTAACATGTCAGCTGTTTGAAATATTTAACTTGTACACTTAAAAGATGTGTACAACAGATGATTACAGAAGCTGAAAATCGACAGCTCGATCTCCTCTTAAAGGGAAAACCTACGGCACAGAGCAAATGGGGGAAATCGAGGTGAAGAAATAATGAAAGTCCTGCAGACGTGATTAGCACGTCTGAATATACCTCCTTTCGTTTCTCTGCCGCAGGCCTCCCATGGATATTCCGTAAGGTAGATCACGATATGATCTAAAGAGAGGAATTGTAGGATATGAATATCCATTTTGCTTAATATCCTAGCTGTTCATATAAGGGTTAATTTGAACCAAGAATAAATTTGGAATTGTATCTTCTATTCTGGGAAGAATTTATCTAATATCATTTACAAGAATGACCATACTGATTTCGAAATGTTCTTGTTAATTGTCCAAGATTAAGGTATTTGTAAATATCTTGTTTTGATCAAATATACATGTGTTATATAATGTAGAATTATAATAAGAAACAGCTGCTCATAACTTGTGAAAAACAATGTCATTATCACGCCCATATGCTCATTTTTCACCCTCCCGTCCTGCAATGAAAATGGGGTATAAATATAACTGACGTATGAATACAATTTGAATTGGTTATTGAACACGTCTCTGCTATTCATTTCCAATTTCCAGAGCTCTGAATGGGTTGGCAAATATCCATCATCCACAAAGAGCCCGGGCTGATTTTATCCCCAACAACCTCACAGTCTGTCCCTTAACCCTCCAATATCTTACAGTCTGTCCCTCACCCCCCAATACTTCACAGTCTGTCCCTCAACCCCCAATACCTCACAGTCTGTCCCTCAACCCATCAATACCTCACAGTCTGTCCCTGAACCTCCCCAATACCTCACAGTCTGTCCCTCACCCCCCAATACCTCACAAAATGTACCTCAACCCCAATACCTCACAGTCTGTCCATCAACCCCCAATACCTCACGGTCTGTCCATCACTGCCAAATACCTCACAGTCTGTCCCTCACCCCCCCAATACCTCAAGTCTGTCCATCACCCCCAGTAGCTCACAGTCTTTCCCTCACCCCCCAATACCTCACAGTCTGTCCATCAACCCCCAATACCTCACAGTCTGTCCTCACTCCCCAATACCTCACAGTCTGTCCCTCAACCCCCATTACCTCACAGTCTGTCCCTAACCCCCCAATACCTCACTGTCGGTCCCTCACCCCCGATACCTCACAGTCTGTCCCTCACCCCCCAATATCTCACAGTCTGTCCCTCACCCGAGAAGTCAAGTGTCCGATTTTACTTCCACACACTGGACGACCAAGTCTCGCTGCCTCCTTTCGTGCAAACAAGATGGCCGCCGTTTTCTCTTCCACGTGACATTCGACTATACGAACCGCGGCCGCCCAGAGAGCGCCTAATAGACGGTTTGATTTGAAGATAATGAACCAGAAGGGTGGTCTGTGTTCAGTAGTTTAACCCCTTAAGGACACATGACATGTGTGACATGTCATGATTCCCTTTTATTCCAGAAGCTTGGTCTTTAAGGGGTTAATCTACCGAATCAATAAATTCAAAATGAACGAAATAAAGCAGAAAATCATGAATTAAATAAGAAAATACCGAAAATGAGTCTATTTTCTTCACAGTACCTTAAGGCGGATATGTTTCGTGCTTAACCAGACCTTATCACCGGTTGAAAAATAGGAGCATATTTCTTGTCCAATTTGGACTTAGTAGAGAGGAGAAGTTGAGCTTGCTCCCAAGTGCTCCTTATTAGGTTCTATAGGTGTTCTTTAACCATCGGCATTTCGTCTGATGAAAATGCCGATGGGAGAACAACCGGATGAAAACCATAGTTCAAGAAGAAGGTGCTTTTTTGAGTAGCATCAGACACTAGGCTGTTGTGTGCAAACTCAGCTCAAGGAAGCAAAACAACCCAGTCATCATGATGGGCAGATTGTGTTTGGCTACTATCCACCACCCTTGATTTTAGCTGTCCATAACATTTATTGTTGCAACATTATGTCCAGTTCCTATGGTTCATGACTTTTTCAAGCAAAGAAGTAATCCGTGAACTACTAAAGCATTCGTTCGGTTGTTCGGTAGGAACACAATGGCTACAATGTTAAATATCTCCGTTCAACAGACGAACAAACTACCGAACAACCAGACTACCCCAGAGAGGAACGTGGCTCTAATTTGCCTCCTCATCGTTCTTCACACTAGCCTGATTGAGAATCATATGAACGTACAGTGCATTCCATGTGGGAGGGTGCCGTTCGAAATGCGAACACCGCAGAGACCTCCATACCTTCACCCGTTCATGGGAAAACACACAAAAGAATCATAGCCACGTAACAGACTGGATCATGATCTGACATCTGAACCTGCAAATGTGAAGGAGAAGGATGAACAGACAGACGTGATACATTCACAGTTATCATGGAATGTATGAAAAATGAATCATCAACATCATTATAAGAAAGACTCTGGAGAAAACAGACTAAACCTGAATTATCTTATACAGTAAGAAAGAAATGCAAAGATGGAAGCAAAAGGATGCTAGAAAATTGGTTATGGTGTCTCCTTCTTACAATCTGCAGCATTATCATAACATCAACCCTAGCTGGCGTTTTAAAACTGCATTGGGATTATGTTAACAAGCAGGTCTATATAAACACACTATACAAGTTCTGTGATCGTGAGGACTACCTCCAAGAACTATCTTAAAAGGAGAGACACAGCTCACAGTGAAATGATTGCTAAATTATTGCCTACACTGGTATTTCACAAGGAACCTATTGAGATCATTCCAAAAACTGATTATACATGAGAAAGATGTGATTGAACTATTCCAAATCCTAATAATGGACTCAACGATGATGGCAAAGCATGCTGAAAACAGGAAAAGACGGGACAGATGCTTGTGAAAGACTTTGGATGCACCTACGAAGGTGATGCAAGAAAAAGACTTTGCCATATAGTTTATCATTGAGTGACTACCGCAAACAGCCTTCTTATGCTGAAAAGAAGTGCTATGCTAATTCTGGACATTGCTATTATGTTTCCAGACAGAAGATGACTGGAAAAAGAAATAGAGGCTGTAACGGATCACCTGGCACCCCGACTGGGTACCTCCGTTGAAGGATGCTCCTACCACTTCCTGAGGACTCCAAGCACTGCAGCAGACACCAAAACCACCGAACCGTAGGAGCATCTGAACGCTCTCAAGCATATGAATGTTGTATACAGCCGAATAGGAAAAACCATGCGAATAGGTTTACACTCCTAGCAGTCAAACTGGAACAGCATACAATAAATCCTCCCCCAATAATGAGACCACACTTCACTTTGAGGGTTAAGCAGGAACTGACTGTACTGGCACATACAGCGTCTTTTATTCCCAATCCACAAACTTAGTACTGCCCACAGGGTTTTACAGAACAACCAATCAATCTGTACAATACACACAGACACTCCCACACAAAATCATCCCCTCTGCCTGTAATACAATTACCTTACACAATGGGTAATCTAATTATCACAGACAGAGAAATACAGTTTCATAAAACACATCACAGGGACCCCAAAATATGCAATAACCCCATGAAAATATATAAAGTATATCATTGGAACCGGGGGATCTGGGTGAACCACATATCCAAAATTCACACAGATCCGTTCAGTAGTTTGGAAGATACAGTTTAATGCAGATTCTGCAGAACATATACAGGCTAAATGAAAAACAATCACTGTATAATGTGTCCCCTGCTGTATAGTCCAAAACCACTGCACGATGTCTCTGTGCACCAAATACTGGCGAGATGGCACCGTGTTGAAAAGTCCAAACAGTGTCTGTGAGTTAAAATGGCGCCATCCATTGTTCTCACCATGTGCTTCTGATACAGGAAATGGTGGCCACCCAGTAACTCCACAGTATGTCCCCAGATGGTTCTTAAAGGGCCAGCAGCAGCACAACACAAATCCCTTATGCCCAAATCATGTCTTTAAAGGGCATTACATCCTAGGGGCCATAGTCACATGGCAGGAGGCTGGCAATCAGTCTTCTGCAATGCCCAGTGGCGAGGTCGGTTTCGCCACAAGGTAGAATGTGTATGTTCTATGTGATAAATGTAACAGTATGTATTTTTATGTATTTTATTGTCCTTTGTCTGCCATGTGGCTAATGGAGTTTTGCCTCTGTCCTTGGAGATAATTGGATTACTTCCCAATTATCCCCAGGATAGAAGACTTTGTGGAACTGGTTTTGGGCAGAAAAGCCATGCTTCCTTTGGTCAAATAGGACTTTCCCTTAACTTTTTAACCCCTGGATGGAATTGGCTGAATTTTAGTGATGTTTATCTTTAAAGTATGCTGATTCTGAAAATGTATGTTTTATGTGAATATGATGCATATTTTTAAAGTTACAATGTATGTATAAAAAGTGTATTTTTCCTGCCTATGATAAATTACATTAACCCATTGTGTTCAGTAATTATATCACAGGCAGAGGGGAGGGATTGTATGTTGGTGCTGGGTGTGTTTTACAGTTCTCCTGTAAATGATTGGTTGTACTGTGTCCCACCCTGTGGTATGTCCCCTTGCATGGGGACTTGCATAAAAGCCAGTGTGTGGCCATTACAGGGAGTTCCTGCTTAACCCTCAAAGTGAAGTGTCATCTCATTATTGGGGGAGATTTATTGCATGCTGTTCCAGTTTAACTGCTAGGAGTGTAAAACTATTCGCATGGTTTTTCCTATTCGGCTGTATTCAACATTCAAATGCTTAAAAGTACTCATATGCTTCTTCGGTTCGGTGATTGTGGTGTCTGCCAGAGTGCTTGGAGTCCTTAGGAAATGCTAGGAGCATCCTTTAACGGAGGTACCCAGTCGGGGTGCCAGGTGATCCGTTACAATACACAGATAGCTTAGATCTGAGCCCACATTATTACCAGATTGCACTCAGATCACATACATACAGTTCAATCGCCATGGAGTCAAAGTCTTTCATACAGTCTTTCAGTATACGGCTGGGTTCCATGCTATGCTGGGGTAGCATGGTTTAAACAGTAAATTACCAAATGGACCGGTGTTCGGATAATTGACTGCAGGTAGGAGAAGGGAAGTCGGCGGCTCAGCAGTGTCCGTGACAGTCCGCAGAAAGGAACCAGCCTTTCTGCAGGAAAAACAACAGTGTTAAACATGGGGCCATAGTCCTGCGGCAGGAGACGGGCGACCAGGCTCCTCCAGTGGCGAGGTTGGTTCCGCCACACCTGCAGCCAGAACAAACCCCAAATAATCAACCCTTTCTTTGCAGAGCTGCAATTTGTGCTTTGCAACCTTATGACCCTCAGCAGCAAGATGTCGGAGCAAACTAAGTTAATCTGC